GTTAACTCAGCAAAATTATTTTAACGTAACCCAAATTTAATATAGATATAATATAAATGATTTATGTTCTCTATCTTGAGCAGCAATGAAAAATAAATGTAAAAGAAATCAAGAAAATGTAATTCTTCTATTTTAGAATTGATTTAACAATTTCTGTGTAGATTTCTTGTAGTATTCGTATAAATAAATGTAATTTCTTTTCACTCAATTTATATACATATATTTTTATATTTTATGTTGGGATTCACTGCTTTTCTAAAAATTTAAAGTACACAAAATTGAAATTTCTATCAGTATTCTTCGTTTACGAAAGGTACGTGACCCTTTTTAGAAGATAAAAAGATACAAAGTAATAATAAGAATAATAACACTACAACAACGCCAATTAAAATGCATACGAAAAAGAAAAATTTTTAATTCGGAGAAACTTGACTTGTAATAGTAGGAAGATGAGTTATACGTAATGTAAGAAATGAAAATAATTATCAGCGATGTTCCGGTCACGTTTTTCTATGTGAACCCGTTTCCGCAATTCCCACTACTCGTGCCGATAAGCGTCCGTACGTGACGGGATTACATTATTTCCATGAATTTCCTGTAATTATATTCCTAGGACGGGGATCATTAATAGCCCGTTTCACGTGGTTTCCCGTTTCCACCGCGCTTCTTGGTTTCGCTATCGACGCTGTTGTACGGAAATGAGAGATCCTCGTGTCGAATTATTGCGACAGTAATCCACTGAGTTGTCTCAAATAAAGGTAGTCGTTAGAATCAGTGGTTTCTAAAGAATAAGAGTGTCCCCAACCCAAATTCAATTCAATTTTGAACGTGTCGACAGATAGGGCCCCCAAAGAGAATTTTTTCTACCAAATATTAATTCCCCTACCCTCACTATTGGGGTAGTTACAAGACAAAACGTAATTTACAGTTTAAACTTTCTTTTGTTGTATGGAATAAAAAATTATGAAAAAATCATGGACAGTCTAACCGAAGGTGTACACGTTTGTGAATTTTCTTAGAATTTTTGGTTGTAATAAGGAATTTAAAACAATTAAAAAAGTTTTTAAATGCCGATTTTATATTGAATTTATCGAGTGACCCCATTTATATTTTGACAGTTTCTGGGTTTCGTTATGGTTACTTGTCTGTAATTTTTTCAGATTTTTCGAAGTGGTGGAACATAGTTAAAAAATTCAAAATTCGATACTTGTTTATATTATTATAGATTGGTAATGTACAATTTCTTCAGTTTCTGATTTTTTGTTTAAAATGTAAGGATATCCTTATCTTTCGCGAAAACTAAATCACATCTACTATAATATAAGGGAAATGTTTGTTGATATCTGCCATGGTTTCAGAGAAAACCATATTGTAACACTATATGAGCCATTCTGTATAATTTTATAGTATTTTTGACGACGTTCGTTCTGGTTATGCCATTGACGATATTACATGCCTTGGTTTACTTGTATCCACTTTCTTATACACTATAGTCCCACTTGATACTTACATAGATCATGCTAGGATATTTCATAAAATATTGTATACTTCGAAAATTTAATTCAGTGATAGCAACAAAAAAATATAATCTCAAAATATAAAACATGATAATTTTCTGCAATATCATATTTATTTTTTACACGTTTTATTCGAGGAATGTGTCACTGTAATGATTATAGTTTCAATCATATACACATAATTTTGATTCTAAAAGTAAATATAACAAAGAATGAAAATAGAAAAAATGCAATATATATTTTCGTATTCAGCACAAATAGAGCTTTCCAATAATATATTAGAATTAATGTTTGTTTAATTCTATACACTACCATATATTAATAGTTACCCTCCCTAAACGTTCTTTTTTTAAATTTTTAAAAAATTCAAATGTCCCTGAAAAATGGCGAATCTTCTTAATAGAATTAAACGTAGAGTTGGTTACATCGTTCAAAAACGTGGATAGTTACGAAGCCTATATAAGAGGCCGAAGAAATTGATTCGACGAGTAGCAGAGAGTACTACTCGAGAAATAAAAAAAAAAATCCGATTAGTTCTGTCCGAAGACTCGGAGTAATTGCTTCGAGAAGGAGCCACTTGTATCTAACAGTGGCGCAGAATTGGAAAAGGTGATTTGTAGAACATCAAGAAAAAGCAATGCGTTGGGAAAATAGAAGGGCCATAAAGAAGAAGTAACAATAATGCTTGAGCCTTGGAAACTGGCATAACGTGACAAAAAGTTAAGGAAAAGCGATTAAATTTCTTCAACAGGTTGTAAGGAGTGTATTACAATGCAGATTACATCAGTAGAGTCCAAGCAATTTAAATTGGCTGCTCAAGGTCACCAGAGAGCTCATCCCCACTCCACTATTTTTATCTTTCATCTTTTCGTTCAAAGGCGTGGGAGTTTAGTTTGTCAAAGTGAAAGGCATACTGAGACCACGTAGCAAAGAAAAAAACATATTTCATAGGTGATTTATATTCAGAAAATTAATTTTGAGCTCGACCATACGACCCAATAGAACTAGAAAGGTATATTTAATTGATTATTTGATTTTTCACACTTAAATAGCCTAAATTTTTCTTCAATACTGGTGGGATGTTGCTCCTTTCATTGAATATCAAAATGTATATATTACAACAAAATATGAAAATTAAAATGTAATATATGTATATTATATTCTTCCATGCTTCTTTCTAAACTTCTGTTAACAGTTTTAATTAGGAATATTTCTAGAATAAGTAAAGATTATCATAAATATAAGTGCAAAATGGTTGAAAATAATTTTTTGGGCAATATTATTTCTAGCATTTACTTGATGATTTGAAGAATTTAACACTATTAATCCTTTCCCAGTGACTTTTGGATCCATTTTTATTCATAGAACAAAATAATAAATAAATAAAGTAATATTTTAGTTTTTATTGAATAATAATAGCACTAATACCATAATCTTCCAAAAGTAACCGATAATAATAAAGTAAAAATGTAATTAAAAAACCTTATACATGAGAATTAACGAAATTTTAATTCAAATCAAAATGGACCCATGGAGTCCATTCACGTATAAGATTTCTGAATAATTTTCAGTATTATTATATTTAAAAATTATTAGATTCTAAAATAAACAATTTCTATAAATAGAAATGAAGTTTTTAAAAATAGAAATAAACTTCCCAGAGTGTTTCGAAATCTTTTATCGACATTTCGACTAATTCACAGAGTCCGCAAGGGAATATTTTGTAGGAAATATTGCAATAATTTTTATCAGAGAAAAAATCTTGTGCGAAATTGCATCGTTCTAAACACTTTTGCGACCCTCTGTACGTTAGAGCCGAAGGGCCGACTGAATGGAACCTAAAATTCGTACGCCGACTCGATAAAAACGTTCGAATAGTTTGGAAAAGTGATTTTCAAGTTTGTCGGTGCACGCATTGAAAGCGCGACAGTGAAATCGGAAAGGACGAGAGAGATCGAACGAACAATACGTGCCGTAGTTGACCTCTTGATTTGCTTGCGTATGACCCATCACGGTAAACAGTTCGGTCACCATTACCGCGGACCACACTGAATTAATTAATCCCTTCATTAAATTTAGTGCGGAACCCGATGCGGCTTTCGAATCTATAATGTCGCGCATTCATCCTGTTAAATTCTTGCCTTCCTGCAGATTACAAGGTTAACGTTGGGACACGTTACAAAACAATTAATTTGTGACTATTTCTCGTCGCGTTTCCTCCGAATAATACGAAAAAGAAGCATTTGTTTGGTACGATTCCTTTAATCGAATTTGACTCCGTCTCTGGAACTTATTTAAGTGCTTTAAAAAATAAATTATAAATTAAATATAATTATTGGTTTGGATTATTGATATTGTAAGATACAATCAAATCAAATTTGTTCGATGTAAATTTCATTCGAACTTATACTTTCCTTTAAAAAAATGTCTGCTTCTGTGGTGCTTTTATGGGGAAAAAATTTTTGTCTTGAGTAGTTTTTAAAAAATTGTTCTTGTCGAACAAATATTTAGACAACTTTTATGACACAAGTTCCACGAAAACATTCATGGCAAAAGTCAGTGAAAGTTTCACAGAATTATTAAAACTCCGTGGCGCATTTCCCGTAATTGTCAACAGAGGGCTACGCTGGAAGCTTTCTCACGAGTGCTCGACCGTCCATCGATCTCTTTATATACGATCTTCGACTGAGTGTTACTAGGCTCAAGACGACACTCTATATTTGCAGTACCATTGTAGATAATACGTTTATAATAATATTCTATATATTGTATTGTCATAAAATAACAAAAAATTAATATTTTCTAAGTGTGTGGACGAGTAAAAGTGAACTAATTTACTCTCAATAAAAAGATATTTCTGTTATACGAGAATTAGGAAGATGTTGAGACCTGTTATTGATAATAGTTAAAAGTTGCCAATTCAACTCTTAAAAGCCTTTATCGTGGGTACTGTCATTGCAAATACAATAGATTTAACGTCCCCATATATTCAATAAACGCACAATGTTGAGAACTGTCATTGGTAAAAATTCCCAATTCAACTCCTTAAAAGCCTTTATCGTAGGTACTGTCATGGCAAATACAATAGATTTAACGTCCCCATATATTCAATAAACGCACAATGTTGAGAACTGTCATTGGTAAAAATTCCCAATTCAACTGTTAAAAGCTTTTATCGTAGCTACTGTCATGGCAAATATAATTGGTTTAACGTCCCCATATATTCAACTGTTAAAAGCCTTTATCGTAGCTACTGTCATGGCAGATACAATAGATATAACGTTCCCCAATATTCAATAACCGCAAAACTGTATAAATGGAGAGTAAACCTGACGAAGTGTACGTGATTTTCGAGGATAGAAGTGGTGAACGGGGATTGGGAACTTAGCTTGCCCAATATTGTTCCTCCTATTACCTACTACGGCAAACACTCCGTGGCCGTTATTGCAGGCCGCATTGGATTAATTAATCCTTTCATTACAGCCGCTGAGGATGACCACACGGATGCCGACTGCCTGATCGTAGCTGCTATGTCGCACGGTGAATCTGGTTATCTGTTTACCTCCGATGACACATACTTGGTCGAGATGCTCTGGGACTCTTTCACCGCCGACAAATGCACCACCCTGATTGGCAAGCCGAAATTATTTTTCATTCAGGTACATTTATTTTTTGAAAAATAAATATACATCCTTTCAATTTAACACGATTGATCAAATGGATATTGTCTTGTAATGTAAACACAAATCGACCTACTTTCGTTTCAGTTACAAATATTGGTGACATAGTTATCAGATGTTGATATAAAAACACAAATTTTATAAAAATATATATTGATCGCGAATTTCTATACTAAAAAGTATAAATATCTTGCACGATGAGAACGTAAATCTTGATTTCTTTCGCGGTGTAAACCGACCTCGATCTTATTCCATTTATCTACTTCAGGATGACCTCTCAAGGCTTTGCAACGCGTAGACCGCTGCAGCATGAATACTGCGTTTTTTACCTCCGTACTCCGTGATACGCGGTATAATGAAACTGTTCGGAAAAAGATTGTACAGCACGTTGGAATAATTAAATTAAATAGTAAAAGTTGCTTAAAATTTATAAAATATAAAATACTTTAGTTTTAAAATTTACACAGTTCTTTTCTTGTATAAACGTTAGACGAAAGCTTCTAAAATTGAAAAATATTTAATTATAAACAACATTCTATAAAAGCTGACCAAATATTTTTTAAAACATTGAAATAAATGTGAAAATGTTTTGAACTATAAAAGCTCTATGTAACATGGTGCAATGTGGTGTAGATAGTAAATTTAATAAAATTAAAGTTTTGGTCCCACAAAATTGTACGGTTTTTATTAAAAAACAAAATAAAGGAAATTAAATTATGGAATGTATGTAGTATTCCCCAATATTATTGGTTATGAATTTCGTGAATGAAATGTTGCTCGTCTCTGTTGGTAAGGTTAGGCGATAGATGTGTATACTTACGAGAAAGTTAGTGACAAATCGCGGTGTCCTTTGACTTTTTTCTCGGAAGAAGTTTTCACGTACAAGAAATTAAGCACGGCCACAAAGGGTTACAAGTCTGCCAACAACAGAGACGTGGCAATTGAGGGAACGAGCTCGTTCTCGCATACGGGAAGAGCCACTAACGTGTTGGCTTTCTTCGTGAAAACTGGAGAGGTAGCGCGCTAACGGAAGTGGAAAAGACGACATAGTTAATTATCCGTACGACGGTTCAAAGGGACATGAAAGAGTTTTATAGTTGACGAGGTTACTTCTCAACTCGTTTAGCAAGCTCTCGAGTACGTTCTACGTTGCAGACGTACCGCTGGGTGACGTTCGCTCCCGTAAAGTTTCGCAAAGAAGCTGGTAGCGTATGTGATAAACATTTAGGAAAAAGAGAGAGTACTTAAAATATTATACATACGTCCGATACGCGAACCAGAGTAATGGAACGTCAGAAAGCAGTAACAGACTAATTCATCAACGTTTGCAACATTAACAATCACTACACACTGGGTGTATTATTTCGAATATTAAATGGCTGCCGCTTGTAAAAGTTTATATTTCTTGAAACCACCTCGAAAGTGTGGTTAAAATGGAAGAATATTTTTAGCATTCCTTCATTAATTTTTTTTTAAACTTTATATATGTATATATTATTATATAAGCGCATAGAAGTCACCATTCATAATTTCATAATTTTTTAATAATTAGCTTATGCTCTACTTTCTAAATTTATGTACAACTTGATGTATCTTTCTATTTTTAAATTTATTTTCAATTCTGGAATTGTAAAAAATTCAATTACCTTGAACATATGGTTTGCAAAATACCTCTGTATAGAAAATGGTAGAAATGCAATGTTAAAAGGAATAATATATTTTTCGTTTCTCCATTCATTTTTTTTTTTAATTTTGTGATATCGATGCTTGTATGCATCATGCTCAATTCCATAATTGTTTGATGATTTATTTATATTTTATTTTTGAATATTTATGTACAAATTGATGTATTTTTCTGTTTTAAAATTCATTTTTAATTCTGGAATTAGGAATTCCATATACATATATGTCTACATATATAGAAAAAGATAGCAATGCAATGTTACAAATAATAATGTATTTCCATTTCTCCATCAACTTTTTTCAAAAATGTTATACCGATGCTCGTATATAGAAGTCACTATGCTTAATTTCATAATTTCTTGATAATTTACTCATGTCCTACTTTCAAAATTTATAAACAAATTAATGTATTTTTCTATTATAAAATGTATTATTAATTCTATAATTGAGAAAAATTAACCTATCGTCGTTTGAAAAATACCTCTGTTTGGAAAACGATAGAAATGCAATGTTAAAAGGAATAATATTTTTTGATTCCTCCATCAACAATTTTTTTAAATTTTCTGATATCAATGTTTCGTATATATAAGTCACTAAAATGAATTTCATAAATTTTGCTAAACTATTTCTGAAATATAAAATAAAACAAACGCAAACAATAGTACACATACTCTGAGTCATGCTACAGAATTTTTAAAAACTTTAATAGCTTCAGAAATTTTGCAAAATTTGACATTTCCACGTATCAGATTAACATAGCATGCAATAAGTTTGATCCCCTGCAAATTCAACATGTTTGTGTTTCATAATAAACCGGAAGTACATTAGAGTGTCTATACCATACAGTACCCTCGAATGTTAGCAGTAGCTAATTTGGTGCAACGCTTTGAACAAACACTGCGCATGATTTTAATTCCATTCCATCAATCGAGGTTGAAATGAAATATTTAAACTATTTGGAAACTAAAATCTATTGCCCCGAAACCTTTAATATTAGCTAATTCTTTAACTCGAGAGAAACGGTATCCAAAGAGTACAATTAACATGAAAATGAAATTACTTTGACCCAGAGTTAAACCATCAATTATCTATTCTTCTCATTTATTAAAATTATTGCGTGTAAGTATCTTTAAAACTTTTGTTTTAGATTTCTCATTTTATGCTCTTTAAGAAATAAAGACTCATATTTCTAAAGAATTTTATAATAATCTTGACAAATTATAAACTATTGTAAAATTAATTTTCTTGGAACTGTGTTAATAGTAGTAAACAAAAAAATATTTTATTTATGATTATATATTTTCCTATACTTAAAATGAAATGTAAGCTTACAAATAATAGAGTTATCAAGAGAATAGTAAGAAAGTTTTGAAAAGTATAACTTGTAAAATTGAAAATAGTCTTTTTAAAAGAACATAATTTGTGTGGCATGTTTCTTTTTACCAAATCAATGATTTCAGAAAATTCTATTTGAATATTGAGTTGAGTTTTTACTTGAAAATCTTTTGTCAACGTTTGAAATTTATTTTCCTATTTAGCACTAAATTCTCAAAGGTTGTCTTCAATGGTTAAATGTAATACTCCTTTTTAAAGACAGTTTTTCTTTTAGAAATTCTGAATGTTTCTCAGCATCTTCCAGAGAATCATTATCGCTGTTAAACTTTTCAAAAAGACCATTAATAATCTTTTTCATGCATTCCCATTTTAGATGATAAATGAAGTGTTTTCTGAATCCTTTTGAAAAAGAAACAGGATTAAACTAAATTCATTAATTATTTATCAAAATTCTCCAATATAAAATATACAACATTTCCCAAATTTCTGATTGATTCTCTAATCACGAAAATAATCATTTTACACAGCTCATCGCAGTAACATCCTATTTTATCTAACCGTGAAATTGCGTGAAACAAAACACGCTAAAAAAAATCAATTCGAGTTATTCGACACTCCCCATCTTCCCCGCGTAATGTTGTCAGTAAAACGAAATGTACGTAGTAGTTATTCGAAACCGTGCATTATAATGATTCCCTCTGTATTTTAATTCCGAGTTATCCGAACGAAAAAACTCATAAATCCCGTCCATACAGCGGTGTGCATTTCATCGAATAACAAAACCACGGGAATCAGAAATTTCGTGGCTTTGTTCGCGAATATCTCGCGATAAAAAGAAAAAAGAACCCATCGTCCTTTATAATTTACGTCGATTTCGGTCCCGTTTTTCGTTCCTCGGCGAATTTCCGGCGTCTTAACGGCGCCGCGAATTTTCTAAACAGGATTTGCACCTCCGACGCGATACATAGAACCGTGCCACGTAACTCGCTACATTTTCTACCACGAGTAAACGGCGGTTAGGGGGATTGCAGGATAAAAGAAGTAGAAGATCGACAGCTAAGACGAGCGAGAAAAAGGAGGTGCAAACTAACAAAAATAAAAATTAAAAACTACGTCGAAGATACGGATATAAATCTGCGAAATTTATTAATAGAGGGGATGCATTTGGCGAGGAAATTTATTCTAAAAATTTATTTATTGCATGGTTCAATTAATAGGAAATATATTTGAGGTTTGGAATGGTGTCTTATGTTCTCCAGATATGATTTAATCCGTATACATATAGCGCTTCGAAACATGTGTGTGAAAAAAATTTAGTGACTTCTATTGTATATCTTTACTCAATATATTGACTAGAGATATACAATGATTTCTAGTCAATATATTGTTAACAAATCAGTGTTCATTATTCTAAAACTGTACCGTACGATAATCATTCAATTTGTAAAAAAAAAACTATACAGAATGTTCGGCCACTCCTGGGGAAAATTTTAATAGAAGTTTCTAGAGGCCAAACTAAGACGAAAATCAAGAATACCAATTTGTCGATGGTTAAGAAGTTCCGACCGTACTGAATTTTTTTCTTGAAAATGCGCAAGATGTCGGGAGTATGTCTATTCACAAAAAATGATTGTAATTGACCCCCACAACTGAAAGTAATTTTTCCAGAATAATCTGAAATTTTTCAATTTCGTCGAAAAATTTAGACACCTACTCCATGTCGATTTTTCTTAAAAATTCGTTTATCATTTTTAATAATTTTGTTTGACGCCCTACAGAAAAGTTGTCTAGTACTTTTTTGAAGGCGCCCATGAGCTCTAGCTCAGAAAAAAGTTTCATTGAAATATATTCACTATTGTAGGAGTTATCGCTGTTTGAAAATTGAACCATTTTTGGGGGGTTTTTTTGACTTTGCGGGGCTAAGGGATAACTTTTCGGTATTTCTTAGAATTTCTACGTATTCTACACCAAAACACATGTTGTTTGCATTTTGAAACTTTAAAATCGGCCAATCCGTTCAGGAGTTATGACATTTGAAAGATTCGCATGAAATTGCAGGGAAGCATTTCTGGCCTCACGTTAGATTGTCGGTAAGGATTTTTTTTCTCGAAAATGCGTAAGATTTCGGAGGTATGTGTAATGACCAAAACTGATTGCAGTCAAGTCTTGCGCCGGAAAATAATTTTTTTAGAACAATTTGAAAAATTCTTTTTTCGCCGAACAATTTCAGCACCTACCTGAAGTTTTTCCTCAAAAGGAGGTAGATTTTCCGGGGTATGTGTAATGACCAAAACTGATTGTAATCGAGTCTTGCACCGGAAAATAATTTTTTTAGAACGATTTAAAAAATTCATTTTCAAAAGGAGGTAAAATTTCGGAGGTAGGTGTATTCACCAAAAATAATTGTAATTGATCTCCGCGACCAAAAATAATTTTTTCAGAATGATTTGGAATTTTTTAATTTAATTTTTTAATAACTTTTTACGAAGCCTCAAGAAATTGATATTCTTAATTTTCGTCTTATTTTAGTCTCTAGAATATCCCGAACACCCTGTATATTTCAATTATCAAGCCTAATAGACATCATTTAACAAATTCCCAGTACCTCCTTCGATAACGTTCGCGTCGTTGACCCCCAAGCGAACGTTATCGAGGGAGGTACTGGGTATTTGTTAAATGATGTCTATTAGGCTTGATAATTGAAGTATATATGTACTTTTTTTTTACAAATTGAATGATTGTCGTACGGTACAGTTTTCAAATAATGAAGACTGATTTGTTAACAGTGTATTGACTAGAAATTATCAGTCTATCTTTTGAAAAGTGTGAGTGTCATTAGACTCTGGTGAAAGCAATTCTCTAAATTTCTACAGTATTGGAGCATCGACAAAACTCCTACTTGGTACATATTTTCATCCAATACAAAAATACACAAAAATTTATGAACTGTTCCACTACAATCATAACTTAAAAAGTATTTAGAGAGACCTAACATTTTACGTATACCAAAAGAGACCACTATCGTTTTGCAAAAGTACATTAGAATGCAAGTCGAACAGTTCGTGTTACTCGTTTCCCCAGTGTTTGATCCTCGCGATAAACGACAGTTTCGCGAGCCAAAACGTCTTGCACGCAGACTATCTGGAATAGATCTTAAAATTCTACGTACGCTCTAGATATTTGAGCCACGGAGACGTGTATTAAAAGCTTCCTCCGCCGGGTTTAGCCGGGTACAAATCAACTGGTGCGTGAACGTCGACAGTGATCTTTAAAATTCGAAGCGAAGTCGACCGTTGTCATCGACAGAGCGTCGTTGTTCCGCCAAACAACGCTTTTCCAGGGAAAACCTTTCGCACAAAGGGAATGCTACATCGCCGGGACTTGGATGGCCCACTCACGTATGCGATTTCTTTTTCACAGGCCTGCCGTGGCTCGCAGCTGGACGGAGGGGCGACGATCATGCACGAGACGGATAGCGGGGCTGCGTACAGCATCCCATCCTATGCAGACATTATGGTCGCCTACTCTACTTACGACGGTAAGATACAATATTCTTCTAAAATTATCAAAACCCTATTGCAACGTTTCTACAGTTATTTTTTAAATTAATTAACTTTATACGAGAGTGCTTGTCAGTTTAAAATTTTGTTCGCTACATATGTCTAATTTTATTTAATTTGTACGTGCACAGTTTCGACTCAAGTCTTGTCCGGAAACATAAATCGTCTAAAAATAGAAATATATGAGAATTCATTTGATTGTTTAAGCTGGTTTCGTATAATTAATGTGTGTCGGAGAACTTAAAAAAAAATTGGAGTGGTTCGATTTTATCTTGAGAAACACGTGGCAAAAATGCAGTTGCACAAAAATTTGTAATAGAAAAATATCAAATATATTTCAGTATTTAAATTGAATTTAAAGACAGTTTCTTCGAATCGAATGAATTTATTCTATATGGCCTTTGTTCCGGATATTCAGAAATCATGCCATTTTATGGTTCGTTGCACGCTACAATTCTAATGATGCGATAATGAAACGTTCGTCGATGCATTAACCGTCTTGAGAACAGCATTACACCGATACACTCCGTACCGATAGCAATTTCCTCTCCAAATACATCTACGAGCACCCAACGCACACAGCTCGGATATTTGTTTTGTATATAATTAAGCTCTTTGAGCTGTTAGCGAAGCGAAGAACTGAGGAGTTTAATCGAAAACTCCGCGACGTGCTTCGGCGATCAAATAAACGAATCAGCATATAAATTTGATCAACCAGTTAAAGTGAACTGTTGCATTCGGAATTTCGAGAGTCTTTGATTTAAACCCATCACGAAAAAACGAAAACTACGTGTCTCACACGTAGTTGTAGGTTAAGGGGTTAAACTACCTTGAATATTTCTGTTACTTCAAGGAACACGAGAATTGTTAGGAGAAAAGTTTATTGCAGTTTTTTAACCAACTTTTCATCGTCCCTAAATGTTTATCCATATAATAAATAAATATTTTTAAGAGTGTAAATGTCAGTATGAAATATGGTGGAAAAGACTATTGTATAGCTTCATGATTATACACATATAGGGAATATTTTTTTATCGCTTCTTATAAATGTTTACCCAAATAATAAACAAATGAATAATTTTTTTTAAGGCAATTAAAGACAGAGTGTAAATATTAGTATAAAATCTGTCGGAATGGACTATTGTACAGCTTCATGATTATGTATATATTTTTTCCTCGAAAGTGGGTAGGATTTCGAGAGTATGTTTAATGACCAAAAATGATTGTAATTGACCTCCGGAACCGAAAATAATTTTGTCAGAACGATTTGGAACACATGAAATTTCAGGGGAATCATTCGTTCATGATCAGACATTATATTTTCGGTAACGAATTTTTTTCTCGAAACTGGATAGGATTTCGGGGATATGTGTATTCACTAAAAATGATTGTAATTGTGCCCCGCAACCAGAAATAATTTTTTCAGAATGATTTGAAACTTTTTAATAACTTTTTAGCGGAGCCTCCGTAAAGAAATTGATATTCTTGATTTTCGTCTTATTTTGGCCTCTAGAATCTCCCATTAAAATTTTTCCCAGGGGTGGCTGAACACCTTGTATCACAAATCTATTGACTTTGAAATGTCCAATAGAGATACGTTACTGTCGGATTCGAAATTTTCCACATCGATGGAGCACTTTTTAATAAAGCCTCCGCGGCTCTCACACATTGTTGTACTACATAACCATTTTTATTCCCCCAAAAAAATTTTCAACATTCTATGGTAGCGTTTCCAAGTGATATAAAAATTGTAGTTGCTTTCAGAAAAAAAGAAAATAACACTTCTTGTGGAGCAAATCGTGTTTTCAATAAATGTTACAATGTATTAAAAAACGAGAAAAGAATAGTACGTAGATTCGTTTTTATTCTGAACAGTATGCGATAGTAGATAAAGCAACGATAAAAGAAAAAGAAGCAATTGATGCGTTGAACAGGTACTGAATTTCGAATCTTATGTACTGGACGATCGTTGCATCCTATTGAGCTATCTAAGCTGTCGATAGGTTGCCCCCTTAAGCCTAATATTCCAAATGGCTATCGCCTGCAATTGCTGATCACACACGCGTCGATGCGTTGTATCGCCCAAATCTGGATACACTAAATCGGATAAATTGCTGTCACCGCTATGTACACCTGTACGTGCTGTACGAGAGAAGGATATCGATAAGGTATGCCAAAATTGATTTTGATTTCCATGCCAAATTTAGACAGTATCTGGCACCGTAATTGTAACATGATTCAAAATACGAAACTCTGCTCGAAATTAACAATTATTCACGATCTTCGTTTCCAAGATTATTAAAATATAACGTTATATTTTATTTATATATTTGTCGGAATCCAATAAAAAGCTTCTGCTCTAATTGAATGTTACTTCACGTTGTGTAAATAAAGTTATGTTGGCTCTAATCGATACTTAAATTCAATCGATGCAAAGAATGCCATCGGTAACGCAAACGAGCGTCAGGTTGGCATTGACGTTTGGATGTGGCCTTTGAAGGTAGTCGAGTTGGTTGTCTGGTTACCGAAACGTTTGAAAAAAGAAGTAATCGAAAAGAAAAGAACAGAACTAAAACGGTTGCCAGACTGTAAAGACGTGCGGTAAAGAAATAGAAAAAGAGATTCCCTGTAAAGGACTCATTCGTTATCGTTGTGCATTCTTTTGTGTTGTTAAAAAGTGTTTGAGTTATAGTTTCAGTTTGTTTAATTAGTTTCGTTGAAAGTTTTAAGAGTAATAGAAATGCGTAGATCTTCAAGACAAAGGCTTGGTCGCCCGAGAGGACCTAATATGTGTCGCCCAGAGGGAATGGTCAGAGAGACGGCTTTTCCGACATCAGAAGTGGGATACCCTCGGGCACAAAGCGAGCCAGGAGCGATTGGCGAACATCAGTCGCATGAAGACACACAAGCTCAGGTCAGCGCGAATGCGATGCCGCAGCCGGGTGAGGCTCTGCTCCGCACACTTTTGGAAACCCAAAACCAAAATTTGAGGAGTCTTATTGAAGGGATTAAATCCACATCAAGTAAGGGACACGTTTCTCTTCCTATTTTCGACCCGGACCAGCCTCAAGCCGACCCGCGAGCGTGGTGCGCTACCGCGGAACTGTGCTTATCAGATCAAGATTTGCAAGGCGGAGCCCTAGTCATGGCAGTTAGTCATGCCCTGAGGGGGAGTGCCTCTTCATGGTTGTCCCAAGTATCATTTGCCGGGATGACTTGGCCGCAGTTTAAACAGCAGTTTTTGGTGCATTATGACTGTGTTGAGACCCCCGCAGCCACTCTTATGAACCTGTTCAGCGATCGTCCGATGGAAGAAGAGTGTCTAGCTGCGTATGCAGCACGGCTAATGACCATGCTCACTTTGCGATGGCAGAATTTGTCAACGGAGCAGATCGCGGTAGCAATGGTTCTGGCGCACACGGCACAGTTTGACGGACGGCTGCAAAGAATGGCCTTTACCACAGAAATTAACACAAGGGACAAGCTGCACCGTGAGCTGCAAGCATTCTCATTTTTGAAGAGGAAGGCAGCGGTAGCTTTACCGTCCTTTACCAAGGATGGTCCGGCGGGCAATAAGCGGTTCAAACCGTTCCCACCCACAAGAGACACTTGCCACTTTTGCGGAAAGCCGGGGCACCGGATTAAGGATTGTCGTCTCAGGAGGGATGTGAAGAAAACCTCGAGCGTCAATTCTTCAACAGTGACTTCGGGGGAATCGCAAGCTACATCGAGCGTAACATGTTTCCGTTGCGGTGCGACTGGACACTACGCCTCCAAGTGTCGACAAGAAGCAGGCAAGGGTAGCGGTGGCGCAGCTCCGACAAATACGGTTCAGCGGCGGATTGATGTTTGCGAAATAGGTAACCCCAGTGGAAAGCTGGTCTGCAACGGTGAGTCATTTCGTTTCCACTACGACTCTGGTGCCGAATGCTCTCTCATTAAGGAAAGCGTTGCTTTGAAATTTTCTGGTAAGCGATCTTATGACAATGTGATGCTTACGGGTATAGGTCAGATGTCGATTTTCAGCACGGTTCAAATTTTGTCAAGGGTCCAAATTGATCGTTTACACCTGGAAATACTTTTCCATCTAGTCCCCGATAATTTCTTAAAGAATGACATTTTGATTGGTCGCGAAATTTTGAATCAGGGTTTTAGCGTAAGCATGACGTCGGATAAGATAGTTCTTTCCCGGTATGAAAAGATGAAGGAAATCAATGTTTGCGAGATAAAAGATTCGGACGGTAACGAAATTAAATTTAATAGCATTGACACCGACATTCCCGTTGAATACAGGGCCCAGTTAAACGAAATGTTAAAACAGTATTCCGATTCTTTTCCCAAGGGAGTAGCAAAATCTCGCGTTAACTCGGGACAGCTAGAGATCCGACTTGTAGATCCTTGCAGAATTGTTCAGCGCAGACCATATAGATTGAGTCCTGAGGAGAAGGTAGTTGTTCGAGGAAAGGTTCACGAGCTGTTGGATGCCGGTGTTATCAGGCCAAGTTGTTCGCCTTTTTCTAGCCCAATTTTGCTAGTAAAGAAAAAAAATGGTTCTGATCGTATGTGCGTGGACTACAGGGAACTTAATAGTAATACTATTGCTGACCGATACCCTCTTCCTTTGATCTCAGATCAAATAGCTAGATTGGGAGGTGCTCGGTGGTTTTCCAGTCTGGACATGTTGAGTGGTTAACACCAGATCCTGGTAGAAGCCAGTTCCATTGAAAAAACGGCCTTCGTTACGCCTGAGGGTCAATGGGAATATTTGACCATGCCATTTGGGTTAAAGAATGCCAGCTCGGTCTACCAGCGAGCTATTGTAAAAGCCCTTGGAGATTTGGCGTTTAGCTTCGTTGTATGTTACATCGATGACGTCTTGGTGTTGTCCACTAGTATAGAATGGTCAGAGAGACGGCTGTTCCGACATATTTATTAATTATATTAAAGTATATCATGTTTAAATATAATTTAATATCTC